ATTAGCACACTTCAACAAAGAGCAGGAACCGTGAACATATTCCAAGAATGCATCAACGCGAAATGCATTCAGATAGAGATTATAGTTTAATTTGGCAGAATGATCATGATTAGATTGTGCATAAATGTTAAACCATATCCTTCAACAGCTGGGCAGGGTAAGTAACAAAATGGCAGAGGACTTCAGCAACTGAGTGACTTTTTTTGAAATTGTGAATATTCAAAACAATAAAAACATGGACACCACATAATCTACTGAGAAATCCAGTGAGGCAACAGGATTATTTCGCCTCAAATAAACTACTCTTCTTCATACTCAAACTAAGACAGAGAATGATGGGAATAAATGTAAATATATAGAAATGGTGAATTTAGGTATCCCTACTAAACCTGTTCAGATGTATTATGACACACATCTTGAGTAGGTGGACATGAAAGTGGACCACCTGGGTCAAAGGTAGGGACACTACCACTGACAATTAGCAGTGTTTTAGTGTATGACAACTTGTCAAATCTTAGGTTGAATGTGAACTATAACTCCTGATCATTAGTGATGCATGTCCAGGAGTACCTGGGAAAATTAGCTTTTAAACGAAAACAGTTCCTCTCAGCTCACTAGTACAATCCTAGGCTTGTCCCATTTCAATAAGAACAAATAAATTTGCAAATATACATCCCATAATCTAGAAAAAATGTATAAAGGTTAACTAACAAAAATGCTCCACTATAGAATTTAACAGGGACATGGATTTAAGAAACCACAATCTCTCCGGGAGTGTTGTTGAGGGTGTGGAACACTCTCTGGGTTTGGATGATATTCATTTAAACCCCTTGTGTCTTGCAATCTTGTGACATGTTGAATGTTATTCTCCACATAACCAAGAAAAAAAAAACGTAATGATATACTTGTTTATTTCAAAGACACGTACTGCTACTTTAATTACATTTTGTTCAGAAAGGTCTTGAATTCCTTCCCGTCTGTCACCATCTGAGCGTATTTTATGAACATTCAATAAATTTATAAAACATAGAACTTGCCATGCTACAGAGGGAAATTTTAAAATGCCATTACTTTTTTGTGATCCAAGTTTTTAAGAGGATGGAATTGTCGAAGATATATTTTTCATACAATTAACGCGAGAAAAGTCAATATAGAAACATTTCCTGTTTTCCCCTTTGCAATCTAAAACCTGACTAATTCAATTTCTGAGAATTAACAACATAAGAGTACTTTAGAGTTACACTTACAAGAAATTTTACATTTCACTAATTAGTGGAACAGGTTTCCCTGGAGGATGACATTTCGTACTAACATCACTTGTAGTGCAATGCTCCCTTAAAATGGGAGGTATTTCCTGATTTAATGGAATAACCAAACAATTCCATTATAAATAAATGAAACACAAAATGCGAGCAGCCTAGTTAATTAGACAACGAAGATGTCAAATGGAATTTAGCCCTCACTTCAAAGAAAATGGAGCATAAAATGGGGAGGTTTTACTAAAATTACACACGACAGTCAATCCACACCCCGGAATTCTGTGAACAGTCTGATCCCCTTGTCGAAAGGAATGCCAAACTGACAACAGTGGCAGTTCAGAGAAGATTCACTAGGTTGGTCCAGCGTACGGAGGGATCTTCTTATGAGGAGAGGTTGAGTAGGCTGGACTTGCACTCACTGGAATTTAGATGAAGAAGAAGAAAACTTATTGAAACATAAAAGTTTCTTAGGGGGCTCGACAGGAGAGATGTGGACAGGTTGTTTTCTATCGTGGGAGAGTCTAGATCAGAGGGCATAATCTCAAAATAAGGCATGGCATATTTAAGACCAAGATGAGGAAGGCTTTTTCCTCTCTGAGTAGTGAATCTGTGGAATTCTTTAACATTGAGGCTGGGTCATTAAGTATATGCAAGGCTGAGACACACAGATTTCTGGTCATTAAGGGAATGAAAGATTATGGGGATAAGGCAGGAAAATAGGTTTGAGGATTATCAGACCAGCCATGATCTCATCGTACGGCAGAGGTGACGCAACAGACCGAATGACCACTTCTGCTCCTACATTTTATGGTCTTACAACCAAGGTTAATTCCCATGGTCCCCCCTTGCAGCTAGCTTGACACCAATACCTACTTTGACAGCAGTGAGTGTGGGAAAGCAAATTTTGTTGAATTATTTGAATTAAAACATCATAAGCTACAGAGAAGTGGAACCTAAGTCAAAAAAATATCAGATACTATAAATTAAGCAGCTCAGAATAACAAAGATATTGTCACAGCCCAACTGCAATGTTCTGCATTTGCAGAGTTATTTATATGTTTATTTCAATCATTTCTAGAGTGTCATTCAGCAGCATTCCAATTACCATAGGATTGTTTATTAGTGGTGACAACAGAAGACTCAGCTCTTTCCTATCACTGCAAATGGTATCCCAACAAATGTGCAGATCATTAAAAATTAACATTCAAAACATTGTTTTGCTATCCATAATTGAGCACAAGATTACATTATCAGGGTCTCTGGTTATTTGTCAAAAGTGATCACAAAGTGCAAAGATTCATTATAAATTCAAATCTTGCTGCACATCTTGCATGGAATCAATACAAAAAAAAAATTCAGTATAACTGACCGGCTGAATATATTTGAGCTTTGCTCTCATGTTGTATAATGCTGCTGGACCCCACAGTGCAGTATTTTCACACCACATACTTAAAAGGCTGGGAGCAACAACTGGATAGGGTTTATTCCAGTTTCAGCAAGATTTTATGTTGTCAGCTGCTGATAAACAAGCTACAAAAACAAAATATTAGCATGTAACCTGAGAACGTGCGTAGTCATTACTCTAATAAAATTTGTATTAGATTCTGCAGTAGGATCACTCTTTCCAGATATAGACAGATGCGACCTGTCTTTTACATTCAAAATCAAATGATGGGATGGTGGTGTTTCAGGTAATTCAGATCATTGCTCAGACTTTTTAGATGGCTCTGAAGTCCTTTGGGATGTCCTGAAATTATGAATAGCACTGTATGAATTAAATTCTTTTGTTTAAACTCCTAGCTATTGTCTTTCTATCCCTTACTATTTCTCTTCTACACCTTTATGCTTTCTTTTTACTATTTGGCTGCACAATGGTGTCTAACTAATCATCAACTTTAGAAAGAAAGGAGAAGAACATCTATAATCAACAGATGTAAGGTTGAGAGAGTGAAGAGCATCAAGTTCCTTGGAGTGATGATAACTAACGACCTGTCCCGGACTTCCCACGCAAATGCAACAGTAAAGAAGGCACAACGCCTCTTCTTCCTCAGGCGGCTCAGGAAATTTGGCATGTTCATAAGGTCCCTCACCAACTTTTACAGACACACTATTAAGAGCATACTGTGAGGGTGCATAACAGCTTGGTATGGCAACTACTCTGTCCAAGGACATTAAGAAACTACAGAAGGTGGTGTGCACAGCCCAGACCATCACGGAAGCCAACCTTCCATCCACAGACTCCATTTACACAGCTCACTGCCGCGGAAAAGCAGCCAACATCATCAAAGACCCATCACACCCTGGTAATGATCTGCTAAAACCTCTTCCATCAAGCAGAAGATACAGAAGCCTGAACATATGCATGAGCAGGTTCAGGAACAGCTTCTTTCTGGCTGTTATCAGAGTGTTGAATAGACCCTGGCCTTAAATAATGCAACCTGCAAGCCTCTAAGTCTTTCTGATGTGTACATCCTTTGCTTGCTGTGATCTGTCTGTACCACTCATAAACAAAGCTTTTCACAGTATTTTGGTACATGCGACAATAAGTTAAAAAAAAAATCATTAGGGATCTAATTTAAAAATCACACAAGTTAAACCTTTTTCATGAGTCACAAATTGCATAGTTAACAGATATTGTTCTCCTCACAGAAAAGGATATTGAGAGGAGATTTAACAGTGTTTCACAAGATTATGCCCAGTTTAGGTAAGGCAGACTTGAGTAAAGTTCCAACAGTGATGCTAAGAGCCAAGAGGACACTGATTCAAGGTTTAATTCAGAAACACAGGATGATGGGGAGACAGCTGAGGTTAAAGGGAGGAGTAATCAGGAGGTTGGAGGGGTGGGGACTTGACAGGAGAGGAAGATAGGCAATGGCAGAACTTCTGAGGACTTTTCAGGGAGGCAGAACTTCCACCCCCGCCACAGCAACAGGTAATGACTTGCAGTGCTGTGTCCACAAAATGGTGGAAGTAAAAATCAACAACTTCAGAAGGAAATTATGTTGGAACTTGAAGGCTCCTATGATGCTGCTTGGCCTGCTGTGTTCATCCAGCTCTGCACCTTGTTGTCTCGGATTCTCCAGCATCTGCAGTTCCTACTATCTCTGAAACGTACAGACCTATAGGGTTAGAGCGAGGAATGGGGCTGATTATACTGTCGTGCAGAGCCAGCATGCATGAGACGGGCCCAATGCCCTCCTTTCATGCCCACAGGACTCCACATAGTTCTTTTTAAAAGAAGTCAATAAACTTTATTTCGCTTCAAAAGTGACTCAGTGTTCAGTTCACATGCGGAACGTCCAGATGGTCTGTATTCGCACAAACAAAACAAAAAAACAACAAGCTTCTGGCAACTCCACTGCGCACTAATAGACGTCCTTCCTCATTATCGGCTCTATTTCATCCTCCTACAGTAATAAACGCGTGGGAGGAACGAACACTGGCTCCCAGGGGGAGGTGCGGAAAGAAAACAAGTTGAAACACAAGCTGTTTCCGCACGTCCCCTTGGAGCGATGTACAAACATCCCAGAGCCTGAGGGGGAACTCGGCCCCACCGCTGCACGGCCAGGCCCGTGTGTGGAGGAACAGTCCAACCCACACACACGAAAAAAAAAACCGCGCTCTATTCGGAGAAGACCTTTCTTCCCCCTCGCCCCTCGACACGGCAGACACCAAGGCAGAAGCAGACCTCCCCGCTGCGCTGTGCTCTCTCTAGGCCCGATTTCAACCGCCACCTCTTACCGGTCCAAGCGCCCGCTCCGCGACACCCGCCCGTCAGCCCGCCCATTGATTGTGACATCTACTGACTGACATCCCGCACCGACCAATCACCGGAAGTCGTAGACTAGCCCCTCCCCCCACCTTTTCGTCACGTTGAGGGGGCGGGGTATCCATCTGTATCCCCGGCGGTAGGGGGCGGAGCTATCATCGGCTTCCAGGGATCCCGGAACAGAATTGACCCGCATAATTATTCCACGTGAATCTTAATTATCATAGAAATGTTTGCAGCGCGGAAAGAAGCCCCTTGAGTTAAAACAAGGGATTTTTGTCTTTAAAATTAAAGACAGAGTCCCCAATGTACTCATAACATTTGTAAAAGTACGTTAAAACATTTCCATTTGAAAAAAACACAAACTTGTTAAGCACATGTTCCACTCTTAAATGTTCGAGTGCTACTGTAATACTCTTAATATTTACAACATAAATTTCACGTCTGGCTGCTTCATCAACAACTTTCCACTATTAAGTTCAGAAATGGGGGGCGGGTGTTCCCTGATGTTTGCATAAAGTTCATCGCCATCCACCATTCCTCAGAACCTAACATACAGTCCAGGTTAAAACTGTATCAGAGATAGTAGGAACTGCAGATGCTGGAAAATCTGAGATAACAAGGTGTAGAGCTGGATGAACACAGCAGGAAAGCCTTCCTGCTCCTATGATGCTGCTTGGCCTGTTATACGGTCTAGGTTCATGTGCACCTAGACCTCTAGGTTCATGTGCACCTAGACCTAGACAACATTCAGCTGATAAGCGGTAGGTACAATTTCCACCACATAAACTGGCAGGCAACGTCCATTTCAAACACCTTTCACCACTGGGACGTGCAGTGGCAGCAAGGTGTACCATCTCCAAGATGTACTCCAACAATACACCAATGCTTCTCCAATAGGACTTTTGAAACTTGTGATCTCTGCCCTAGAAGGACAAGGGCACGAATGCATGTGAATTCCACCATTAGCACGTTTCCCTCCGAGTCATCCTGATTTGATACTATGTTACCATTCGTTCATTAATGCTTTTGCATTCTAAGAGCCATTGCCCACTTCCTTGTGGAATGTACCTTTGCCAAGAAGGTCTGCAGAGAGTTGCAGTGGCTTAAGCTGAGTTTGATTTCAAGCAGCTATGTAATATATAAACATATAAATTCAGGGCTGGATGAGGTTATTCCGCTCCTCAAGCCTACTTCACCATTGAATAAGATTATGGCTGATCTGGTGTTAACTTCAAATCTGCATTCCTATTTCCACCTGATAAGTTTTCACCCTCTTACTTAACAATATTCTACCCAACACTGCCGTGAAAATATTCACAGACTCTGCTTCCACCACTTTTTAGAAAGAGAGTTAAAAGACTCGTTGGACCCCTAGAGAAAAAAAATCACCAAATCTCTGTTTTAAATGGGTGACCCCTGATTTTAAAATGATGACCTTCAATTCCAGATCTTCCAACAAAAAATCTTCTCCAGACCAATCTTCTTGAAGGTCAAGAATTTGTGTTCAATGAAGTTGCCTCTTACACTTCTAAACTCCAACTGATACAAGTCCAGCCTGTCCAACCTTTCCTCATAATACCACTCACCTAATCCAGGTATCTGAACTGCTTCCAACACCTTAAAAAGGGTGAGTAATACTGTTTACAATACCCAGATGCAGTCTCACCAGTGCCCTGTTTTTCTAAAGCATAACCTGCATGTTAAATGCCCCTTGTGCAAAATGATATTTCTGTAGAATGTTATATAAAAACTGAAAGAACTGTGGATGCTGTAAATCAGGAACAAAAACAGAAGTTGCTGGAAAAGCTCAGAAGGTCTGGCAGCATCTGTGAAGAAAAATCAGAGTTAATGTTTCGGGTCCGGTGACCCGTCATCAGAACTTCCTCAGTTCTGAGGAAGGGTCACCGCACCCGAAACGTTAACTCTGATTTTTTCTTCACAAATGCTGCCAGACCTGCTGAGCTTTTCCAGCAACTTCTCTTTTTGTCCCTGTAGAATATTATGTTGGATGGACCGGGTCCGCAGGAAAACCATGTACAAAACTCTGGACCTACCCATGTGTAATGAAGGATGGCCCTGACCTTGTTGCTGCAGAATGCTCCAAGTAGTTGGACCATTCCAAATCAACTGTGGAAAATTTTGCAAAGGAAAATTCATTTGACCACAAGTCCATCAGACAGTGGTCAGCAAGTAACATCCTCTAGATTCTGTGGCAAAAGGAGAGGGTTGATCCTGTTGGGTGGTTCCTAGACCAGACTGCCAAAGTCATTTTGCAGAATGCCTCATCACCAGAACTTTCCAACCAGCACAAACCAGACATTGCTTGGCTGGTGGTGAAAAGAGAGATCCTTCATGCACACCCAGACTCTCTCCACCACTGCAGGCTGCCCTTGAAGCAGCTGCAGGGGAGGTTGAAGAGACTGTTACACATCTCTTCCTGAATGTGCCTTTGCAAAGAAGGTCTGGAGAAAGATGCAATGGTTTTTGTGCTCTTCGGGCTGTTCCCTGGGACACCCAATAAGACAAACATCAACAACGCATGCAGGGCCATCAACTCGGTGAAAGACGCTCTTTGGTCTGCCTGAAACTTGTTGGTCTTCCAAGATCTAAACCCAGTGTTGCAGACTGGCGCATTCCAAAATCCAGGACTACATGCAGAGGGATGCACTAAAGCTTGGGGCATCTGCCACCAAGGCACAGTGGGGAAAGACCATCGTCTGAGGTCTTTCTGCTAAAGTATGAGGATCCATTCAGTTGTCGGACCCTGTCTTTGCCTCAGAATGAATGTAAATAGCGTCCTGCACGAGTAGAAAATGTCTTTATTTTCAACTGCAGGGAAACCCAAAGGAATGTCAACTTCCAATGTGTTTGCTTTTTTCCCTCTGCAAAGACTGTACAGATCTGTTTTAGTACCTCTCATATATACATAAAGATATTTTTTCTGAATTAAATATATACTTGCGATTTAAAAAATGCTGTGCCTAATTTTCACCATGTGCACACATAAAGATAAAGTCACATAGTCCTGCCAGACCATAGCGACAGATACCTCAGGCAAGGGGAGAGTTAGTGAAGGAGAGTCCTTCATGATAGTGTGGTAATTGAATGCATGCGGTTGGCATCACACTGCACCGCAAACACACACACACACACACACAGAAACACATACACACACAGAAACACACACACACACAGAAACACATACAAACACACAAACACACACACACAGAAACACACACACACACAGAAACACAGAAACACACAGAAACACACACACACACACACACACAGAAACACACACACACACACAAACACACACACAAACACACAGAAACACACACACACACACACTCACACACACACAGAAACACACACACATACACACAGAAACACACACACACACACAGAAACACACACACACACACATACACGCAGAAACACACACACACACATACACACACACACACACTCACTCTCTCACACACACACACACTCACACACACACACACTCACTCTCTCACACACACACATACACACACACACACTCACTCACTCTCACACACACTCTCACACACACACACTCACACACACACAGAAACACACACACGCAGGCTCATTTTTGGTAATCTCCCTCTGCTGGCTCATTCCTAATTACACTCAATCATTCATGATCAGAAACAGACACACACAGCCTCACATTATACTGTTTTCCCATAGATCCAACAATGGAGACTTCGCAATTTGTGACAAAACCACATGCAAGGTTCAAAGCAATATTATAGTAATAATCCATTATATGAACCTTTGCCCATTAAGTTACAATGCACAAGAACATTTTGTAGCAGGAAAGTACAGGAGGCAAGTTCTATATCTACAGATCTATAGACTTTAAATACATCATTCAAAATATAACTGGAATATTCAAATCCATTTACGTTGACAAATATCAACTGCAGCATAATTTCTTGTCAGTTTTGGATGGAATTTAGCATCATTATCCTTGTAAACACTGCCTTATCTCAGTACCCTCTTCCAGACTTGCAACCTCTCCATGCCCATCTTTATTCATCCGTGCTATGTTCATATTTATTCCAGTATGATTTTGAAACTATGTGTTCATGTGTATGTATACACATGTAACCAGACTGTCAAATCATTCATCACTGCATCGCAGCCCATGTACCTAACAATAATGGGTCTGATTGAGCTGTCATAGTTTGCAACTCAGCTCCTATCCTTTTAGGCTGAGAAAGAGCTTCGCATCGAGAGTCATAGAAATATTCTGGCAGGAGATTTCAATCACAGTTCCTGCAGGAATGTGGAACTCACCTTAAATCCAACTGTGCCTTTGTGGTGTAGGGTTATCAAGGGAAGGTGAATCATGCCCCCTTTTTCATTGGCAGCCATTGCTGTATTGTGTGGTTTAAATGTCCAGCATCACAACCAGCCACTTTGACAGCTCCTGTGAAAGATGAAGGACATGTGACGTTAGGGTGGGTGAAATGCCAATGGGTAGGGTGCTTGGTCAGTGGTTAAGGGTAGTGCCAGGTACTTGGTTTATTGGTAGGGAGTGAGTGGTAGTGGCAGATCCAGGAATTGGGATAGGGAGAGGGATGGTGCCAAGTCTCATGGGGAAAAGAGTTGAGTGGTGGGGCTGGGATATGTTGGGTTCTGGGTGGAAGGAAGTGTCAGATTTTGGGCAGGGAAAGAGTGTTGTCTGGGGTGGAGAAGGGGCTGAATTGGGTCCAGTGCCATGTGTGGTGTTCTTGGGTCCCAGGAGAGAGGCGTGCTTCAGGTCGTGTGGCATTAGGATTTTAAGTCCCAGCGGACAAGTTGTCAGGTGCAGCAGTAGAGTGGCATGTCATGGGGCAGGGTCCAGGTAAGTTTTAGCTCACAATTTAAACTCAAATCACAGATTTCTTTCTACATTTAAGACTTTAACAATCAAGGCAACAGGAGACAGTCTGTTGAGGTTACTCAGGAAACAGCTTATTAAGTAATATTTGTCAAAACAGGGCAACTTTACAGGTGTACTCCTGCTTTTTGGTTCATCTTAGAAAGTGCGGTTGACACTTGGTCTCCAACACTGCTAGGTT